TTCTTTTAGTTTTCGTTTAGAATTCAAGCTCGTTTTAAGCTTTCTCAAAAGTGAACACATGAGAGCTCTATGTTCATCGCCATAACTTGAGGTTGGATTTTTATTTCATTTTTGACCAAGCAGCAAGTTAGCTCCAATTTCAGAGAAACTGGGATATGACCAAAAGTTGAAGTTTGTAGTTATTGTAAACTGACTTGATGGAGAAATTTCACGCTTTCTTGGAGAGGTGGCATGAAAACGCTGAAATGCTTGCATTTACAGTGGTAGCGATATTCATGTAGAATTNCGAACAAAAATGATTCTCAATTTTGTTTCAGCCCATAAGTTAGGTTTTTTGTTTCCAATAATCACGCGGTCTCTCTGCATGGTGGCCTCTTTGATGCCCTAAATCTCTGTTCGTTCCCCTATCTTTGCAAATCAAATGCTTTCTCTCATTTTTTGCTCTCCGCCAATCTTCTCTCTCTCCCGATTCCCTCTCTGATCTCATCTCTTCTCGTTCTCTCTATTCTCTTAGGTCCTTTTCCTCTCATCTCACCCTCATAAAACATCACACCCAAAATTCAGCGGTTGAGAAAACATCCCGCCGATGACCCATCTTCTCCCTCTGCCTCTGTCGATCAATCCCCTCTCCCCCATTTATCTCTCTCCTTTCTCTCTCTTGCTCTCTCTCTATATATATATTCTCTGACCAAGACACGCCTCCCACCGGCATGGCGACTTAGCAACACCAACACTGAGCAATTCGACTATTCCATTGATGAAACCCATCCCCCATTTCTCTCCTCCCCCTCCCTTCTCTAAACATTGCTGCCAACAACCTTTCTCCACTACCATCAACGACGCCACCCAATGACGGTGCTCTCTCGATTCACACACCTAGATCTAAAACCCTCTCTATTCATGACACATGCCTAGACCCAAAACCTCTCTACAAAAACACACACTCAGTGGTGTGCACCCACACACCAACACCCACACATCCCCTCTCTGTGCACCCACACACCAACATGTCGACTTTGACATTTGTTTGAATTTTTGTATATTGAGGCTGAATTTTTGTTGTTTCACTTCTTATGGTTTTGTGTATTGTGTTTGAATTTATAAGTTTTGGGTACTTGCAAAATGCGATATTCATCCACGATCTTGATGTTGTGACTGTGAGAGCGTATATAAATTTTATAATAGGGGTATATTTGTCTTTTGAGCAGTCTAGGGTTTTTTTGATTTTCTTGGGCTATATGTATTCTTGTAATCTAGTTTATTGATTTAATAGAAAGTATTATTTGCACCCAATAAAACTTTTGGTATCAGAGCCTCCTCACCAATCAAATTGCAATCCCTAAAGTCGCATCCACCATCGCATTGTTACTGTTCACAAGTACTATTCATTTGTTGATATATGATATTTTGCAATCAAATTATGTCGATTTTAGACAATAAAATTCAAACAATTAGTATATGTTTGAATAGAGATAACTAGTCGTATTGGTCTAATGTGATAAATTTTTTTTTACTCGGTTGAGGAAGATGGGATTATGTTTCAGGTTTTGAAATAAAACCCTCTGATACTGCAGAGAAAGTATGGAATTATTTGGAAGGCATGTATTTGGAATTTAATTTTGCAAAGCAATATCAATTAGAGATGGAAATTAGAGGTGCAACACAAGGAGATAAATCTATTCAAGAATTTTACAATCAGATGACTATTTATTGGGATCAGTTGGCACTTATGGAACCATCAGACTTATAGGCACTAGATAGTTTTTTGCACTATAGGGGGAAACAAAGACCGGTCCAATTTCTTATGACTCTTAGAGACCAATTTGAGCCTATTCATGGTGCTATTCTTCATCGCACCCTATTGCTTATAGTTGATGGAGCTGTTCGGGAACTTATTGCTGAAGAGACTCAATTGAAGGTGGCTCATGTGGTCACTTCTTCTCGGTCGGTGTTTGCTACCCCACTGCACAACCTCCATTTTTGCCTACTCCATCTGCACAGCTCACACAGGTTACTGGAAAACCAAAATTACGTGTTGGGATTGATGAATGCAGCTTTTGTCGTCAAAAAGAGCACTGGAAAGCTTCTTGTCCCAAACTTTAGAAAGGGCATGCTTCTACTCATTGATCCTTTTCTCAGGCTTCTGTTCACCTTTCTGCAGCACTAACAACTTTTACATCTGATTCCGCCACTGTTTCTCCTAGGATTGTTTGGTCGATGATTGCGCAACTACAGTCTATGCTTGCTACTTCCACTAAAGATAAGTCTCATGCCTCAGCTATGTCCACCATTCATTCAGGTTTGATTGGTTCGTGTATCTCAGGTATATCACCTTCTACTTGGATATTTGATTCAGGTTCCTCACATCATATGACTCCTAATCTTTCATCTCTTAGTAATTGTCTCACCCTCTTCTTCTATAAATATTGTTACACTAATAGTTCTCCAGGGCAAGTTACTTCTATTGGATCTGTTATTCCCTTTTTGTTCTCCTCTCTTTCTATCCTAAATATTTTTTATGTTCCACAATTATTTGTCAGTCTATTGTCGATTAGTCAACTCTCTGATTCAGGATTTGATGATGTGTTTTTTCCTTATGATTGTGTTGTTAAGGATCAGAAATTCAAGAAGCAGATTGGGACCGGGCGTAGAGCTAGTGACTTATACATTCAAGAGCACTTACATATTCCTCTGGAGTCTGGTTCTCACAAGTTATCTTCCTTTGGTCTACAAAATAATTCGTCCTAATTTTATTTGTGGCATTCTAGTTCTAGGTTAGGTCATTTATCTAGTAAGCGTCTAAAGAGTTTAATTTCCTTTGGTATTTTGGTCAATATATCTCCAAGTGACATCTTTGCTTGTAGTGGATGTAAACTTGCCAAGATGTCTACTTTACCTTTTAATAAAAGTGCTTCTTTGTCTACTTCGACTTTTTCTCTTGTTCATACTGATGTATGGGGACCTTCCCCTGTTTTCACTATAGGTGGCTCTACTTATTATGTTCCTTTTATTGATGATTACAGTCGTTATTGTTGGATATATTTGATGACACAAATCTAATTTTTCTCAAATTTACTGTAGTTTTCATTCCATGATTCTCACTCAGTTTTCTATTGATATAAACGTTCTTCATTCTGATTTGGGTGGGGAATATTGGTCGAAAGACTTCACTAACTTCCTAGCTGCATCTGACACTATACATCAATTATCTTGCTCAGGTACTCTTGAATAAAATGGTGTTGCTGAACGTAAGCATAGACCTATCCTTGAAATTTGTTCGTGATCTCTTGCTTTCTACATCGGTTCCCTCAGTCTTTTGGGGTGAAGCTGTTCTTACAGCGGTTTATTTATTAAATCGTATGCCCCCCCACTTTTATCACGTGCTTCTCGTTATGAAAAGCTGTTTGGGAAACTTCCTAATTACTCTCTTTTTTGTGTCTTTGGTTTAACCTGTTTTGTTCTTCTTCCTAAGCGTGAGCGAAATAAATTGAGTGCTCATTCTGTTTTATGTGTTTTCTTGGGGTATGGTATCAATCAAAAGGGATATCAGTGTTTTGATCCTGTGTCTACAAAGTTGTATGTCTCTTGACATGTTTTTCTTGAGCGCATTCCATATTTCTCGATTCCTTCTCAAATAGCCCCTGTTTCAAGGGATGTACTTGTGCGTATTGATCATTTTCCCTTAGATGAGTCTTATGAAGAGTTTATCTCCTCTCTTGATGTTTCTGATCTTCCTTCTTCAGTCAATGCTTCTTCTTTATCTTATTCTCATCCATCTGTTACCTCTCCTTATTCTTTGGTCTATTCTTGAAAAAAAATTGCATCTTCCACATTGTGTGAGCATTAGTGCTGATGGGCCTAGCTCTGATCTAATGGACTTTGCTCAACCTGAACAACGATATCTTATTTGCACTCACAATCCACCTGTGAGACTTGGTTTTGTTGATACATATTTTTCTCCTTCTTATCGTGCTTTTCTTACTTATATTAATTCTTATTTTGAACCTCAGTCTTATAAAGAGGCTTATATTGATCCTAATTGGATTAATGCGATGCATGATGAATTGGCTGCTCTTGATAAGGTTGGTACTTGGGATTTAGTTCCTTCGCTTGCCGGTAAAAATGTTGTAGGTTGCTAATGGGTTTATAAGGTTAAGACTCATTCTGATGGCTCCTTTGAGCATTATAAAGCTCGGTTAGTTGCTAAAAGATTTTCTCAATAATGGGGTATTGACTATGAGGAAATTTTTGCTCCTATTGCCAAAATAATTACTATTTTTATTTTGATTTTTGTTTTAGTAGTTCATCGATGACCTCTATTTCAATTTGATGTTAAAATGCATTTTTGAATGGGTATCTCAATGAAGAGTTTTATATGCGCCTGCCTCGTAGTCTTTCTCATCCTACTGGTTATGTCTGTCGCTTGGGTCGGGCTCTCTATGCTCTAAAGTAAGCCCCCGAAGCCTGGTATGAACGTTTTCAATCTGTTGTTACTCAAATTGGTTTTGTTTCTAGTGCTTATGATCTTGTTTTATTTGTTCGTTGTTCTACCCATAGATTAGTTCTTCTCTTATTATATGTGGATGATATAATTATCACTGGTCCTGATATTGTTGCTATTGACAAAGTGAAACACCATCTTTTACTTGAGTTTGAGATGAAAGATTTGGGTCATCTATGTTATTTTTTGGGTATTGAGGTTGCTTCTTCTCCTAAAGGCTACCTTTTATACCAGTCTAAGTATGCCAATGAGCTTATTCATCGCAACAACTTAATAGATGATAAGATTGTTGCTACTCCTATTGAATTAAATGTCAAATATTCAAGCTACATTGTATCTAGGCCTGTCAAAATCTGACACGATACGATTAACCGCATTAATCAACACGAATTAAGCGGGTTTGGGTGAAATCTTAACGGGTTCGGATGATAAACGGGTTAATCCATTAGACGCGTTTAATAAACGGGTCATGTTCGGGTGAGAGCTATCAACTCGTTTATCATCCGTTTACCCGCTTAAAAAAAATAATATAATAATAAATTAATAATTATTTTAAAAAAATTAGTCAAAATTAAAATATTATATATAAATATATGATAAATGAGTAAAAAAAAATCTTACTTCAGAAAAATTAAATACAGATTACTCACTTACCCCCCTTTTGCAGTGCTCGATGTGGGATTACTCACTTAGCCCCTTTGTTTCTCTACCCATTTGTTTATTTCTTCCCTCTTTCTGGCTTCTGTAGATTAGAGATGGAGCTTGATCTGAGTTTGGGAGATTCATCAAATCCATTTGAGTTCTTGATGGAGTAGTCTCTACAACACCCGGACAGAAAGTAGAAGTTAGTAGCATCACCGTCGAATACGGGCTCGCAGTTTTCAAAGATTTTGTTTTTTGAGTTCTCTTAAGACAAAAGATTAGAATGATCAAAAGGAGAAGTAGAAACAATGCGGAACCGATGGATATAACAATTATAGCTAATGTCAAGAGTTTTTTGGATTTATTATGAAATGGGTTTGGAGGTTTCTGAGCTGATGGTGATGGAGAAAGTGAAGGGTGAGATGGGTTACATGGGAGCAATGGTTCGCTACAGAGATCAATGTTCCCGGTGAATGATGAAGCTGTACTGTTGGCAGCAGCACAGTGAAAGTTTTGGCTTGAATCCCACATCGACAAATTCAAAAGGAGACCTCTCATGCCTATAAAATAATACAACCCCTTCCTTTAGTCATTAACTTTGTCGTTTGCTTTTGCAAGTGGCAACCAATTAGAAATTTTTTAATTAAGAGAGTACAATTGGTGTGAGTAATTAATGGAGTTTAAAATTTTAAAATGATAGTTTTTTTGTTGCGGGTTAAAATTTTAATAGAATAATGTTAATAAAATTCAACAGGTTAAACGAGTCGTGTCGTGTTACCCGTTTATTAAACGGTTCGTGTTTGTGCTTAAGTTTTTTACTTGTTTATTAAACGTGTCGTGTACGAATTTACATGTTTTTCACTCGTCACTCGTTTAACTCGATACGTAACTGTTTAACCCTACACGTTTGACACCCCTAATTGTATCGTGAATTGGTTGGTTATTTGATTTATCTTACTGTTAATCGCTCAGATATTGCATATGCACTAAATTGATTGTTAGTCAATTTGTCTCATCTCCTCATACTAATTATTGGGCTGCCTTACTTCGTATTTTGCGGTATGTACACGACACTATATTTTAGAGCTTATTATTGTCATCAACCTCCTCTCGGACTTTACATGCCTATGCTGATGTTGATTGGGTTGGGGATAGTACTGATCGCAAGTCTACCACTGGTTTTTGTATTTTTCTGGGTGATTCTCTTATCTTTTGGAAGAGTAAGAAACAATTAGTTATTGCTCCTTTTAGTGCTAAGGCTGAGTATCGTGCTATGGCGCACACCACTGCGGAGATAGTTTGACTTCGTTGGCTTTTAGCTGACATGGGAGTTGTTCTATCCTCTCCTACTCCTCTATACTGAGACAATAAAAGTGCTATCTAGATTGCTCATAATTCAGTATTTCATGAGGACACGAAGTATATTGAAATTGATTGTCATTTTATTCGTCAACATCTTCAGCTGGGCACTATTATTTTACCGTTTGTATCTTTTTCGTTACAGCTTGCAGATTTTTTCACCAAGTCTCGCACTTTAGCTCGTTTTCGATTCTTATTTGGCAAACTCTCGATGCTCTCCAGGCTCACATCTTGAGTTTGGGGGGGATTGTAAGAGTGTATATAAGTTTTATAATAGGGTTATATTTATCTTTTGGGTAGTCTAGGGTTTTTCTGATATTTTTGGGCTATATATATTCTTGTAATCTAGTTTATTGATTTAATAGAAAGTATTATTTGCATCCTATAAAACTTTCAGAAGTAAGCTGAGAACTGTGACTTACTTCAATGTAAATTGCGTTATTTTATTTTATTTATTAATCTTTTTATTATTCTATTTGATGGACTATTTTATTAAGTATATTGGTTGCTATCTTTAATGACATTTGTTTTGTTGTAAGGAATAAGGAATTGAGCATAGATGTATTGGTTGTTTGGTCCTCCCAGATGAGTATTCACAGTAATTTCGTGTGATATTTGGGATTGTTTTGATATGTTAATTTAAACAAATAGAACAATATATAACAAACCTAGCCAATTACCCCTAATTGAAATGGCAAACCGTTACTAACCTCTTAGTAACATAGTTAGACCCACTTACCAATCCTCACTAGTAAGCCCAGGAACATTCTTGTATCAAACCTAGCAACAAAACCCATCTAGCCCATATATGGCTGTACCAGTAACCTCAGTAAGGCCTAGCCAAATAGCAAATCCATATCCAACCTACCAAAGTCCAAAAACAGAATATGTTCCAAAGAAACCAACCCATGCACACCTTAGCAATCCTATTGACTTAGTTAATGCCTATCTTGAATTTGGATGGACTTTCATTCCCTTAGACAATAAAAAATCATTCACTTTCTACCAAGATATCTTATTCTTTATCCGGTCCATATTTATCAAACCAATCCTAGATAGTAAGGATCCTGACAAAATAATATACCATTCCCTTTACATAATGAAATTCATTTTATTAAAAGAATAGGAATCTCACCCTTCTTTATTCAGAGATCTGTTAGGACATAGCAAAAAGTTTACCTACTATGACTACAAAGAGTCATGGTTTAAACTTCTACTCTATTAGGATGCGTCTTACGCGCACTCCTGGTTCATCCAATTTAGCAAAGATTTTAAGAGTTAGATTCTTTCCTGGTTTTTATAGTGGTGGCAGGCTCACGACCCCTTGCTTGAAATCCTACTAGTTAATCTTCAAGGTTAAGTAACCTACTTCTCTTCTACTTTTAAACCTAGTAAACATGAGAATTAGTTTTCAACATTATTATTATTATTTATTAGTAAATATAAAGTCCTATGGATTTGCAAATGACAATGGAAAATCATAGCAAATAATGTTGTCTGGCAATTCTACGTCAAGTGGGGGCTAAAATTCCAGCACAACCGTATTACTGCCCAAGTAGAAAAGGAATTCCCAGTCAAGGTTCCTACACCTGTCAAGGTTAAAAGAAAAACCACTAGCAGACTAGCAACACCAGTTAAACTGGTTATGCCAGCTCTCAGGATCTCTTCTCTAGAAAAATAGGCACAACTATCATCAGCAAAACAGAAGCAGAAAAAATCTTCCTCCAAGGTTTCCAGCAAGCAACGAAAAAAGAAGTCACCTGAGCTAATCGAATTGGCACAGAAGCTTCTCCAGCAAGCAGCCAGTCAAAGCGATTTATTGTCGTCTTCTCAAGCATCGGTTAGTCCATTTATGGATCCCTTCCAAGATGCCCAGGATCCTTACGATGCCTATGATCTATCCAACTCATAATTCATCACTATGTGTAAAAGCTTCAATCACTACTTTCTTCCACAAAAGAAAGAAAAACTGTCTTTTATACATTCCGATGGAATCATCTAGCAACAAGGCTCCTTTCCACCAACAAAGTAGCCGGCAATCAATCAATCAGTCTGTTTTTTCATCGAAAGCAGATTCTTAGCCAACAATAGGGACTCATTTTTGCACAAAGTCAGATAACTGATAATTTATTGGAAGAACGTCTCTTGTATCATATGAAGGCTAAGATACATTGAGTGAAGGGAGAGAGAGTTTTATGTTGACTAGGGAGAAATTTGCTTCTTCAAAGCTTGTTTTGCTGAGAATGACTGAAACCTTTTTATAGGCATAAGAATTTTTAAAGAATCTTTGGAATGATTTCTCTTTTGCTTGCTGGTGTTGCTTTAACTTTGGTGAAAAGCTAAGGTGACAAAGAAGATAAGACTTGTAAGAAATTTACTAATTGAAGCATCAAAGATTCAACAATAAGTAAGATGAAACAAATATAACTCAATGGTTAACTATCCAAGCCGTCAAATGGTTCTGATACCAAATATGACAAAGATTTACAAAATAAGACAAAGATTTACAAAATACAAATATTTACAAAATACAAATATTTAAAATAACTTACAGATAACGGATAATTTACTGGAAGAATATCTCTTGTATCATATGAAGGCTAAGATACATTGAGTGAAGGGAGAGAGAGTTTTATGTTGACTAGGGAGAACTTTGCTTCTTCAAAGCTTGGTTTGGTGAGGATGACTGAAACCTTTTTTTATTGGTGTAAGGATTTTTGAAGAGAATCTTTAGAATGATTTCTCTTTTATTTTTTGGTGTTGCTTAAGCTTTGTTATTTTACTTTTACTTGGGTGGAATGTTTTTCACTTCTGCTTTTCGGTGGAAAAGTTGAAGTGAATTCCTTTTACTCAGGTAATTGCTGACTTTGTGCAGGAGTGGGTCCTTGTTGTTGGCTAAGAATCTGCTTTCGGTGGAAAAGAAGATTGATTGATTGACTGTCAGTTACTTTGCTGGTGGAAAGGAGCCTTGTTGCTGGATGATTCTATCGGGATGTGTAAAAGACAACTTTTCTTTCTTTTGAGGAAGAAAATAGTGATTGAAGCTTTTACACATAATGATGAATCATGGGCTAGATAGATTATAGGCATTGTAACTTGTAAGGGTTTTGGGCATCTTGGATGGTATCCATAGATGGACTGATTGATGCTTGAGAAGATGCCGTTGAATCGCTTTGACTGGCTACTTACTGGAGAAGCTTCTGTGCCAATTTGATTAGCTCAGATGACTTCTTTTTTTGTTGCTTGCTGAAATTTTTAGAGGAGGATTTTTTCTGCTTCTACTTTGCTGATGATGGTTGTTCTTGTTCTTCTGGAAAAGAGATCCTGAGAGCTGGTATAATCTGTTTAACTGGTGTTGCTGGTATGCTGGTGGTTGTTCCTGTAACCTTGACAGGTGTAGGAACCTTGATTGGGAATTCTTTTTTTACTTGGGCAATAATACGGCTGTATTGGAACTTTGGCCACCACTTAACATAGAACAGTCGGACAACATTATTTGCTATAATTTTTCATTGCCATTTGCAAATCCATAGGACTTTATATTTACTAATAAATAATGCAAATCAAGAACTTGCCACCACTGTAAAAATCAGGAAGGAATCTGACTCTTGAAATCTTTGCTAAATTGGATGAACCAGGAGTGTGCGTAAGACGCATCCTGATAGAGTAGAAGTTTAAACCATGACTTTTTGTAATCATAGTAGTTAAACTTTTTGTTATGTCTTGGAAGATCTCTGAATGAAGAAAGGTGAGATCCCCATTCTTTTAATGAAATGAATTTTATTATGTAAAAGGAATGATATATTATTTTGCTAGGATCCTTACTATCTGGGATTAGTTTGATAAATATGGACTGGATAAAGAATAAGATATCTTGGTAGAAAGTGAATGATTTTTTATTGTCTAAGGGAATGAAAGTCTATCCAGGTTCAAGATAGGCATTAACTAAGTCAATAGGATTGCTAAGGTGTGCATGAGCTACTTCAATAGAGAATATGTTATGGGTTGGTTTTTTTGAATCATATTTTGTTATTGGANCAATAGGATTGCTAAGGTGTGCATGAGCTAGTTCAATAGAGAATATGTTATGGGTTGGTTTTTTTGAATCATATTTTGTTATTGGACCTCAGTAGGTTCAGGTTGGATATGGGTTTGTTATTTCAGTAGGCCTTAGTGAGGTTACTGGTACAGCCATATATGGGGTAGATGGGCTTTGTTGCTGGGTTTGATACAAGAATGTTCTTGGACTTAT